GGTGGATCATTCTCAGCACTGCAGTAACACTGATGTGGTGGTGGTGTGTTAGTGTGTGTTGTGCTGGTCTGAGTGGATCAGACACAGCAGTGCTGCTGGAGTTTTTCAACACTGTGTCCACTCACTGTCCACTCTATTAGGACGCTGCCCACAGGACGCTGTTGGCTGCATATTTTTGCTTGGTGGACTATTCTCAGTCCAGCAGTGACACTGAGGTGTTTAAAAACTCCAGCAGCACTGCTGTGTCTGATCCACTCAGACCAGCACAACACACACTGATAAAATGGACAATGAGCATAGAAACAAGGAGGTGGTCATAATGTTATGCCTGATCAGTGTATATAACATATATATACATAAATATTTTACTTAATATTACTTAGGAGAAAAAAAAACATCAGCTTAAAGGCTATGTTCACATTACAAGCCTCAGTACTCAATTCCGATTGTGTGCTCAGATCCGATCTTTCGACTTCATGGTTCACATTTGAACGAACCTGCGCCCTGAAACAACCCTAATTTCCAACATGCACATCCCAAACAAAATGTCATGTGAATGAACACTGTACATCAAGAACAACAACAAACACACTAACTAGTATTGCAAGCTGTGGCTGTGAAGGTAATTCACTCTCAGCTGTTCATTATTAGAGCTAGATGAAGGCAGGTCAGATGCCGTTTACCAGCACCGACTGGTAAAGTTAGGCATGTTTTATTCTATTATGGCCCAATCCCATTTCACCGCTCGCCCCTACCACTTAGCCCTCATCACTCTGTATTGCATGTTCACGTCTAGGGGTAGGGCATCCCGATTTTTATTTAGATAGAAGGCTAGGGCGAAGCGTGGCTACAAGGCCCTCCAAACGGAGGTTATTCAGAGGCACACCCCAAAAGGAGTATTATTAGAAAAAAAAAGAAAAACCTGCAAGATGGCTGCACAAGCGACCAAAGAAACCCACAAATGTGAGGATTTTCTCTGTTAGAAATGTACAAAAAACATTGTATCGTCTTAGTTTACTGTCATTTCAACGTATTGTGGTCCATTTCCTCATAACAAGCATAAAAAATCACTAGTAGTACACTGTTGTCTCGGTAGCTAGCTAGCTAAATTTCCCGTTCCACCTTAAATTTAAGATGGAACAGGAAAATTCGAACTAGAAGCTGGTAAATAGCTGACTTCAGCTTCACAACACTGAAGAAGGTATATGATGCTTTAAATGTAACTAAAGCCCAGCAGTGAGGTTGCTGACCTTTACCCTCCTCTGCTGTCACTGCAGACTGGCAGGGTCGCCTACAGAGCAGCGCTGGTAGCTGTTAATGAAGTAATGTTCTTCTTTATTTGAGGGTCCCATTGCATAGAGGAAGATTTCAACCACTATCCCTTGTAACTCAGTTCTAACGGGTAAGATGACACTCAAAACCAGGGGTAGGGGTAAAAATAAGAAATGAGATTGGGCCCAAATCTACAAAAGTACAGTGGAAAATAAAATGAACTAGAGATTGAGATGAGTTTGAACTTCAGCTTGTACGTAGAACATCCACTGGCACTCTCTCTGCCATGTCTCCTCTGTGCTTTAGCTGTGTTTTTTCCAATCTACTACGCGACACTACGTCTACAGTAGCATTAATTCAGTCACCCAAGTGTTTCCTAACAATAAAAGAGATTACTGGCACAATGAAAATTACAGGCTTCAGCTGTATCCCTACCAAAGGATAACACTGAAGTGAACGTCAGTGCCTCTAGAGTGTCAGGGCGTGATGTCTTTGTTGGCGCTGTGCTTGGTACCGCAGATAAATGCCACTGAAACCCACATGCGTGACTCTTTGGGGAAGAAAAGTCCAAGTGGTGCTGTGAGGTGAGGTGCTCCATTTCATCTGAACCCGATCCGAACCTCAATCAAACACCAGCAGAGCGAGACACAACACACATAAACAGTATGTACTGAGCACTGGATAAGTATGATGAGTAATTACGCTGCTGAGAGAGACTTGGCAGACTTCTGGTCGAGACATTTTTCTTTTTTACCCGCTGAAATTACAGCGAGTCTTGGGTTTTAAAAGTGGCACGTGAAGCTGCTTGATCCTGAAAACTGTACTGCTGCATGGAGCTTCTGATTGTTACTGACTGGTTCCTTGAAGTAACAGCTGGCAACACTTCAAAACGAAGTGAACGTGAGACAGTAAATGAGCTAGAAAAAAAAAACGCTAACTGTCCACACAGGCCTGATGAAAGGTGCTGACCTGAAGGAGAAGAGGGGCTGAACTTGTTGATGTACAGACAGTTCCTCAAGCTCCACTGTTTTGGCTCGTTCTTGCTCTTGTCATCACTGCTGTCAGAGAGGCCTACATGGTGTTGTTAGGTGTGAATGGAGGGGATCACATATCACTGCGTCAAAAGGCGAGGGGAAAGCTTGCTAACAATGCAGAACTTTTTACTCAGTGTACCTTTGGTGGTCTTTGGTGATCTCCTGAACTTTTGAATATTAAAAAAAAAGCTTTCATACATTCTTAAAAAAAAAGATGCCAAATAAGAGTTCCTAGGAGTGATGCCATAGAAGAACCACTGGTGCTCTACAGAAACCTTCATCTAATGGTTCTTTAACATACTATTTATTTATTCTAAAAAGACTCCACATAACATAAAACTGGTTCTATACCAATTGTATTTTCTCCTAGAATCGTATGTCCAACCCAAGAACCATCTAGGAACCAGGGCTGCACAAAGAATCATATTAAGGGCTGCGATGACAGAATAGATTACAACAGGTCAGAGTGATGTAATTACTTGCAGGCTTTCGTGTGGTGGGCTTGACCCCTGCTCTGCAGCATAGCGAGCCATTCAGCTAAACAGCCCATTACAAAACATTGCTCAAAAACTGCTCTATCCTGAAACACTAACCTGAAAAAGCTTCAAACATCAAACATATGAAACAGCAAAGGCTACTGTCACAAATACATGCACAAACATTAGAAGTTTTATAGGAAACTAAATATATTTGTTTTCATTTTGTAAGACTAAATAAATAATTAAAGTACACATATTAATTCATTCTGTAGCATTTATAGAAAAAGCTGTCCAGGGAATGTTGACTGTTTTTCAGCCTTACTGTGCACAAACATGTGTTTGCAATTCTGATGTTAGACATAAGTCTGGGGACAACCTGTTAAACTTTTGGTGTTGGACTGCAGAAAAATCCACCACAAACAGGGGTGCACCACTTCTAAACCATGCCACCAAATCCCTTTAGCGCTTGCTTTTTAATGTCTGTAGTACAATCAATAATGTGAGTGAAATGCTCTTATTAATGATTCAATGAAACTTCGAATACTTTGTTTGAACTCTTTGTTTGAATTTTAGCTTTTTGTCAACAGGAAATGGAAAAAGCGTAGTTTACCAAGTCTGAACAGCTGTTTACAACTTTATGTAGAAAACACAAAAGTTGATGGTCTTGGTTGTACGTGCATTACTGTGCATGATGAAGAAACAAGTTCGTTTTTTTAAATGCAAAGGGAACTGGATGGGTGTAACAGCACATCGTTAAGCATTATTAACTTTTTCATATTTGTCCATCAATATCTTCTAAAGCTGTTGTATAATCTGGTTTAATGGGACTGTTTTCCCCTGGAAGGATGTAATATTTAAATTGACCACATGTAATGTGTCTCCATCCATGTGATAACTATATACTTTAACTAAAGTTTAACTTAAGTTTTTAAAATAATTATTTTTAAATAAGTTTTTTGGGGACTTTCAGCCATGCTAACTTACATTACACCCATGGGCTAGTGATGCACTCGTTTTCCATCCGATAACGTTGACAAGTGCACCATTCGTCGAGCTCCACCTTCAAGAATAGTTGGATTGGTTTAGAAATTTAACTCTCAGTTGGTTCCCACCCTACTAAGTCTACGCTCCTACCCCCATTTCGCCCAAAAATTCTCATGGTTGCCCCTAGATGTGTATTTTTGGTAAGAGGTCACGTCTGGATCAGTGAGACTATAATGTAAGTAGCTATTAGTATCTTATTATTTTTATTTTTTACAATAGTGAATAGTGTTGTTGTAATTTTGTATGTCTTGCTGTTTTTTTTTTCCATCACATCCATTTAGAGGTCATACTATTTTAATCATAATGTATCACTTCTCATATCGCCATCGTGATATCCTACACCTTTTAAATCCATATCGTGCAGCCCTACTGGGAGCACTTACTTTTAAGAGTGTAGACTGATAGGGTTTAAATTTTCATCAATTAAACAATTACAAATACTGTCAACAGCTGGACAAAAACAATCCCCATGCTGATGGAAACCTTAGCTGGAACTAATACGTTCAGCGACTCGAGAAAAAACAGAAAAAATAAACCTTCCGCTCTGTTAACACCAGCAGATACTTTAGTACGCTGTCAAAACGATCCACTACAGGTTGTAGAAACCTAACACAGCCCAATCATCCCGCTGTCACTCCTGGCGTCTCCTGAGTGTGAGAATGGTGCCAGGCTTTTGCCGCCAGCAATCTGGCATGAAGCAAGCTTCCATGGGAGCAGTGGAAAAGCGCAGAGGTGTGTGTTCAGGGGGCTCATAAAAGCAGCAGCTCCCACCCTGTAAAACACTGCAAGGACGGAAGAGCCAGGCTGAGAGCTGAGCTCACTCCCAGGATCTCCCAGGTCCTGGAACAGGCCTGGAATGTGCTGAGTGACAGCGCTTTACTCAGAGGGAGGAGGGACCCTGGTGAGGGGCCAATCTATTAAATGAAAAGGGCTGTTATCCAACAGTGCGGTTTTGAAACATTGTGCGTTAGCAACAGAACAGACACATCAGGGAGCCATCCGAGGACTGTTCTTGATCAAGGTAACGGTATTAATGGCGCTGATGCTCTTGGCAGTCAGAGTTTTATATCTTCACAGCTCTGGAGAGTAAGCTGTTGGCAAGTAATGCTCAGCCCTCTGTTAGTGACTGTACACGCAGTGTTTAGAATGCTTGGTAACCTGAATTACTTACTGACTCTGTTCCTGGCCTGGTTAACCTGCTCCCCAAGTGCCTTAGCCTCTGCAAACCTGTAAATCAACATGAAGCACTCATGTGAAAAATATTCACATCATAAAATGCTTTGCATTTAGTTGCCAGTTTATTAGAAACATTAAAACACCTACTACCTGTAGAACATCCGTTGCTATGAATAACTGGTCAGTCACTATTTAGCCTATCTGTCATTGAAAAAAGGCCACCATTGGAGGACTGATGACTAGAGAATATTTGGCTGGGGGACCATTTTCAAATCAGTAGCGACACTCACACAAAGTGTATCAGGCTCAGCAATTTTGCTGTATTTTTCATACACTGCCTACACTCACTGTCACACCTAGACACACCTACTTTGTTGGTACACCTTGTAGGTGTACAGTTAAAGACTGGAACTAACATGCACATTCACATTGGCCAGAGTGAAACATCAGTGTGTAGAGTCAGCACTTTCTATGTTTCTACCACTGTAAAAAAGATACACTGGGCTTATCGTTGGATGCACTGGAATTTTTCTTACTAAATTAAATTCTACGAATTTTAGCCATTTTTCTGTTCTTTGCCTATCAAATAAATGCAACAACAGCACTGAGATATGATGTAATTAGCCCCTTAACGGCCAAGACCAATTTACCAACTGTGGCTCAGAGGCTTCTCGGGCTGGTCGTTTGGGTAACGCTACATCACAACTATGATGCAGCCTGGACTGGCCGCTTGAGTGACGCTGTATTGCGGCTACGAGGCTGCCTGGACCAGGGACCTGATTGACACTACATCGCAGCTGTGGGGCTGCCTGGACCAGTAGTGTTTGGATGTATGAGCAGTGCTATGCTGTGGCTAGGAGGCCTCTTGGGCCAGCTGCCTATGCGACACTACATTGCAGCCACATGGCTGCCTGGGACAGCCGCTTGGGCTGAAGGGACTGGTGATGTTTGACTGGAGGAAAATACTACCCCTTCATAGCTAAGGACTTTTTTCGGCCTTCAAGGCTTCCTGGGCCGGATGCTTCTGGGACGCACCGCAGCTGTGGAGTAAGACTTTCCCCTGCGGCTAAGCACTCTTTTCGGCTAGCAAAGCAACTCCATACTGTGGTCAGTGTAATTCCCCCTCGCTAGCTGTTGTGGAGTTAGTTCAGTTAGTTAGTATTAAGGTCCCTGTAGTTCCTGAATAATAAGCCTTTTTTTTTAAATAAACCCACCAAAGAAAACCACCAAACTCTACAGGAATCCATCCTCCAGGACTGAGGTGGAGGGTGGCTGGTAAATTGTGCAGCATTGGTCAGTAACAGTATACCTACAAAGTGCACCATCTGTATTTGGTAGGTATACTTGTCAAAATGAGCAAAGGCTGAAGGAAGGTGTACCTAATAAACTGGGAACTCATTGTCTATCACTCATTGTCTATATCTAGTGGATGAAACTTTACCCATTCTGTCAAAAGAGACTGACCTCTGCTTGAGTATGGCCTTATTGTCTTCAATGGTGAGACGATCCTCATGATCTCTCCTAAATACTTCAAATGCCTCTTGCCGGCCTATAGACAGCTCTGGTCCTGAGAAGGAAAAGGAAGCATGTCAGAAACCAATGCTGAGTAAAAAGACAGCCTCTCTAATATGTGATCATGTCACTTGATCAGTTCACCACAAGTCACACACTGTCAGACGGCTCTTATTCTATTATAGACCATATCATTATCCAAAATGAGCCTCGTGTCTGATGTGGCAAGCTGGAATAAAAGAGAGATCTGAGCTGATACAGGCAGAGTAGAAAAACCCTGAGGTTAAGCAATGAGGTTGACCAGACAAATTCCTTGGACCATGTTTCTGAGACAAGAAGGAGATACCCTGGCTTTTCTTTAGCAATCTCCATACTCAAATCAGTAAAGATGGTAATAATCCACAGTTTTTACTTTCATATTGCTCTTCCACTAGTATATAAGCCTTTAAACTGCAGGTTTATTGTTCTGCAATTAATTGTAAAAATTATGAACCTAAGTTGTGGAGTTACAAGTGTGAGAGACTGAAGTCTGAACCCAATGATGAGTTCTTACTGTTTAAGGGTTTAATTACAAAACTCTGCAAAAGAGATCAATCTTCACTTATTTCATTTCTAGTCAAAACGGCTATTAAGTACAAGTTATGCTTTTTTCAGTTGACACTTCTCAAACAGATGTAGAATAATCCACTGGAATTTTATATTAATAAGTGTAGTAAGTGGAAAAAATGGAAAAACAGGAGTTTCCAAAACTATTGCTAGGATATAGAGATAATGGGACTCCTAGCAACCATGCAAGACACAGTAGAAATCCAAAACTGTCCCCATCAGATAAACAGCACTTAAACCTTTCATCTCTGAGAGAGAGGAGAAAACCAAGCTGCTTCAGATCTGAAAACATCCACAGGTGTTTCTGTCCATCCTTCTACTGTGAGAGGACTCAACTAAAACAATATGTAACTGTCAAGAAGTCATTGTTGAGAAAATGAAACAGGCAAAAAAAAGAAGACACAAAGAAAACACAAAAGCAGCTGGTGTTCTCAGTACAATGGACTGACCAGCCCAGAGTCCAGACGTCAACATCACTGAATGTGTTTTGGGCCACTGTGATCATGAGAAATGCAACCAACTTCTAAAACTGAACTTTAAAAGTGTTTTCCATGCAGATTTCTTTGAAAAACTGAAAGCAAGTCTCTTGAAAAGAATGGATGCTGTAATTAAGGCAAAGTGTGGCCTAAACTAAATACTGAAAATATGATGTTGTATTTAGTTGTTGAGGCTTCTGTGTAATTTTCTGTTAAATATATGTTGAATGAATAACTTTTACTCTTAAGTCTTAAATGGAAATTAAATAAAGGAAGGGTGGTCTCTGATTTTTGCACAGTATTATGCTCATCATGTCTGCCTTCATTCACCCAGTAACAAGACAGACATACACAACGAGTAACAGTGTTTCCTCCAGTGTTCTGCATCAGGAAAGCTGGTGTAAGAATAGAGCTGCTCCATATGCACAAAATACTAGTATTGCACTGGTATTGCTACATATGTGATGAATGTGATGTGCAATATGTCAAAAACACACCGGTGACTCACTAACGTGATGCTGCTATAATGTGTTACTATGCTAACAGCGCACAGTAAAAATCCCGTGATTGGTAAGTCTCACTTGGCCTTCTGCCCATATTAGTATTGCAAAACTCATCATTGTGATAATGATAAACAAATAATATATCGTGCAGCCCCAATTCAGCAGCAGTTTCAAACAGACAAGCCCATGGTCTGCACATGACTGAAATGAGGCTGTTTGTTCTTAGCAAAGGGACGTTTATGCGACAACACATCTTGGAACCGTCCTCCCACTTCCAAGATGTTCTCTGTTTGTTGGCGTGTTTGTTTGAGAGATTCCATCCTCCTGAGAAGGTGCTGGATGCTGTCAGAGCTGTGTGGAGCTTTCACAATCCTTTGGAGCAGAAAGCTCCAGCTCAGAAACGGGCTGAAATCACTGACCTGGGAAGGCCTGGCCAAAACAGCTGTCAGATATAAATGAAGCCAGGTGCAGAGCAATGACTGGTTCTGGCAGGTCAACACCAAGAGATGCTCACTGGAGTGTGCATAAAGAACTCCTGTTTTAGAGCTCCGGTGAGACATTTCAACCACAGAATACAGTAAATGAATCACCGCAAGACAGGCGAGATAAATTATCAAGCCGAAAAGTCTTACTTAGATTTCATTCCCTTTTATAATCTAGTTAGGAGTTCAAAATAAGCACCGCAGGGGGACGTGTAGGTCAGCTAATGTGCACCAGGCCATGCAATAGCAGGCATGTAACAGTCGGACAGGCATGTAATAGAGGGCCAGCAGCAACATGAACACAGGATGATTGTGTTTTAGACAGTTAACTGATGTTCACAGCGCTGGCTGGGAATTGGTTTGGTCCCAAATTCTGTTAAAGCCACAATCACTCCATAGCATTCTCAGAGCAGCTGTGTGCTTTATGTGACCATGTATACATTGAACCTCCAGCAGTTCAGGGCTTCAGTTCAGTTCATGATGAATATACCGGCAAGAACATTAATCAGGTGTTACATACAAGGGGCGAGACCATGCCCAGGTCATCAAATCAATCTATTTTGTGATTTTGTCTCATTGTGTATGTATTTATAGAAGTTTCCTTTTCAAAGCACAAAATACTGAGATGAGATAAAACGATAAAATACTCTGAAATAGCAATGCTTACATTCAGCTCCTTCCACCAGTCAAAAATAAACATTTCATAACATTTCAAAATAATTTTCTCAAATTTCTCTAATCTATCCAATGCCAGTATGTTTTAATTTTACCCGATTTTCTCCCCAATTTAGTCGTCTCCAATTCCACCCGCTAGTTAGGACTCCCCCAATCACACGATGCTATCAACGCTAGGAGGGTGAAGGCTAACACAGGCTTCCTCCGAGACCTGTGAAGCCAACCACCACTTCTTTTCGAACTGCCGCTCACGCAACGTCACTGGACAGCCGAACGCGCTCGGAGGACAGCGCCAACCGCCAGATCTGTTACGTCAGCTAACAGACGCCTGCGCTGACTAGCATCGCGCTGAGTGACGGGGGGAGAGGGAGGGGCCATCCCACCCACCCAGAGAGAGCGAGGCCAGTTGTGCTCTCTCGGACTCCCGGCTACGGATGGCTGTAGCATCACCAGGGATCGAACTCGCGATCTCCTGATGATAGGGTCAACGCTTAGACGGTTGCGCCACTCGGGAGCCCCACCAGTATGTTTTTTAACCAAATATCTGCCAATACCGATATGATTTAGATATCACTGTGCATCCCTAGAAATATTACATACTTTATCAATGAGTAAAAACACATTCTTTTGACTTACTAGTCAAGTCAAGTCAAACTTTATTTATATAGCTCTTTTTTTTACAATAGACATTGTCGCAAAGCAGCTTTACAGAAGGTGACAGTGGCAAGGAAAAACTCCCTAAGAGCAAGAGGAAGAAACCTTGAGAGGAACCAAGACTCAAATAGGGAACCCATCCTTCTCTGGTCGACACCGGACAGTAAACAATAAGAAAGAGCAAAATAAACAGAGGATAAGGTTTTAACATTAGTATAAAATATTAAAACACAGAAAAGGGGAAAAGCAGGTGAAGCAATGGCTATGATTAAATAGTAAGAGTTCAACAGGAGGGTCAGTGTTATACAGGTGAGGTTTGCCCAGTGTTGTACAGCAAAAGTCTTTAGATCAACATCTTTAGAAAATAAGTAATTATTTTGATCTAATGGTCACAGTTTAACCCTAAAATAAATCAGGATAAAAAACTTTCACCTGGAGGAAACAGATTTTCATACAAAAAGCATGTGAGCAAAATAGGTGTTTATATTATACTAGTTGAATATTATTTATGAAGTTGCAAAGCTCCAGCAGACTGTCAGTAATCTGCCCCTTTAAGCTGTGCTGTATTAACAACCCAATCGCATCAAAATTTGTAGGAATTCCAGTGATTTTGTAGCATTTCATATGAATCAAGTTACAAGAGAAAGACACGTCCACCTCAGTCTCAGACTTTAGTGAAGTCTTCCTTCATTACTATGATGTTCTAAACGTGTTATGAAATGTTTCTGTAAAGATCATTTTGTAACGTGGTCAGTTTCTGACCATTTGACCTCCTCTTGATAGAGTAGGTAAGCCAGTAACATGAAGTCACTTCACACTAATGGACACACACAATAATGCACCATCATCAACAGATTTAAACCCTGAAATTCAAGGCTTATTAAAGTCTATGGCTTATTATTCAGTAACTACATGGACAGCAATGCAAACCTGCTAAGTTGTTTTTAAGATATGAGAGTGAAATGGAAGCTAAGACCTGCCAGAAGGTCATTTAAGGGGTTAAACTCTTAAAATGATTATTTTTAGCTGTGCAGGTCTTTAATAGAAGCACTGCAATTGAGAAAACTCCGACAAGCCAGCAAAAGTAAATAAATAAATAAAATAAAGCGAATGCACCTGCTTATACTGTAATTCAGTCGTAATGAGGTAAAGTATGGAAACAATTTAAACATTGTAAATAGGTAATTCAGGTAATTAACTAAATACAGGAAAAACCACAGAGCACTCATGGGAATCACATTCATTTGCGAGTGTTGTAACACTCCAAATTTAGCTAATCGCTATCTGGAGTAGTTAAATAACAGCTGAAAACAGAGAAGTGCAATGTGGGGCAAGGCCATACACAACATAATGGAGGAACAGAGGAATAAACCATGACTTTATCTACGCTTTGCAACAACACTTAGTCTTTGCCTAACTCACTGTGGAAAAGGCTGCTCAGTTCACATGGATGTAACAATCTACACAGTGTTCTGATGAAAAATTGAGATGAAGAAATAATGTACACCCTAATAGCAACTAATGCCTTCCAGGAATAATCTTCACAATTACATGTCCATTATTGTGACAAGATATTAATCAAAACTTCAGTGTGTTCTCAGAGATAAATCTACTGGGCCTTTCAGCACTTTTCAATCAAGTACGAGACATCTATGTTTT